TTGTTGTTGTTGTTGTTGTTGTTGTTGCAAATGATGGTGTTGAATCGGTGTCTTCAATGTCCATGGGAGCGGTGTCGCTTGGTATGATGATATATGGATGATCGATGGCATACATCTGATAATAGCCATGTGTGTCTTTACGACAATGGAAGTCGAAGTATTGGGTAATAGTTACATTGGACTTGTATTCCATGAGCATGGGCATTGTCTTTGGATGTTGTGGACCTGGCACTGAGGCAGGAGGCAGTTGGGGGCTTGGTGCTGAGGCAGGTGGCTGGGGCAAAACAAAGTCCAAACCATCATCAGGTTCGGCTTGTTGGACTTGTAGGGACATTCTGTCATGCTCAGCCTGCTCTTTGCTGGACAAGTTGGAAGCATCAAATGCAGCATCATCACGCGAAATTTAATAAGGCAAAAGAGCTTCCGAGATTGCACAGTCGGACAAGGCCTGCCTTGTGAATGATTCCACTGTTGGATATATAACTATTGATTGTTTATAGCGTTTGGTGACACCATTGCGTTGTGTGGCCGGTTTGGTATTGAAGTGGTGCTGGGCAAACCGATTGTTGACATAGTCGACTATTGATGCTGTTGTTCTCTTCATGATGTTGGAGTCCAGAGATAGTCTGAAGTCCTTGATGATCTTGGTCCAAGCACCAAAGTATATGTCACAATCAGACTTGCCATGATATGGACCTAAGAACTTGGCGTCAATATCAACGTTGAGTAGCTTGGCCATGACCTTGACGTGATTGAGCCACTTGTTGGACTTGAATGTTGGTCCATTGTCAGACAATGACCACAGAGTGTCTTCTTTGATGTGACCACCAAATAGTGGTACGCCATCGATAGTTGGAAAGAGGTTGGAGAAGTCTTTGTTATCATTGAACAGATTGAGATAACATGCCTTGGCATGATTGGCTGATTTGTCAAGGACTCTGGAGAAGTAGCTTGATGGAAGTTGGAATAATTGTTTGATTGAGATAAAGTTTGAATGATTGATTGAATGAATGAATGAATGAATGAGTGAATGAGTGAATGAGTGAATGAGTAAATGAGTGAATGAATGAATGAATGAGTAAGCAACAATATCAATGTCGTTCATTTTGGAGTTGTAACATACCCAAAGGTAAATTTGTGCCTCACTCCGTTGATGCTGTAGTAGGTTACGATTCCAAAGAGGCTCCTCATAACTGCATTGTAGAACTGATAGTTTGACTCTCGTTGAGATTTGTTGATGTCCACATTGGCCTTGAAGTCTGCTACCATCACCACTTCATCATCCTTCACTTCCTGCTTTGACCTCTTGAAGTCTTCTCTGCGTGAGTTGACCAGACGCTTGTGATTGCTCAGTTTGGTTAGGTCATGTCTTTGCCTTTGATCCTACCATCCTCACAGGTGGGACAAATGTCATTCCTGAGCCTGGCGCGGCGCATCCACTTTGGTAGATACTTGATGAATGTTGTGTAGCCCACGTGGATAAATGTGACCACGGCAGTCGTCCTGCTCACATCATCTTCATAGCCAGCGAGCAGAGGATATGAAGATATTGGATGGGCGGGTGGTTTAGAGGTGTGGAATCTGTACAGTGCATACAAGTCTTTCTTTGGGAGGTGATACATGCGCACGCACACACACACACTCTCCTTGGTTTCCGTCTTTCGCTCTGTGACAGCATTGGCCTCAGCTGATGGTAACATATTCCAACATGCCAAATAGACCAACGTCCTTGATAGTCTTGTTCATTCGATTCTCGTCATTGCTCCTGTTTGTGTGTCCGCTGGCCAGCTGGCTTACCGCGGTAGCTGATTGACTGTAGGGTGGGGTAAATGGATGACTGTGATTGAGATGAATCAATGTTCATGGCCTGTTGTTGTTGTTGTAGTTGTTGTTGTTGTTGTTGTTGATGTTGTTGGATGCCTGCCTTTCTCTCCTTCTGTTTAGTATATGCCACTTGTCGGTTGTGCTTGGAATCAGCTATTTGTTGGTCACAAATGACCCCAACCCCTCTCTGACAACATATCAACAAAGTTGAGCAACTTCACACATTCACAATCACTCTAAACAAACATTATTTATTATCTACATGTAGAAGACATAGTTAACGTCGAGTTATGTAATATAGACATGATTCAAACTGTTGTAAGCAAAACAACTACTCCCTTTGTCTCTGTGATTGCACATATAATAAGATGTTAATTGTATTGCTTCAGCTGGCTGGTATACCCTCGTTGTAAGAGGGTGTAACGTGACCATGAGTCAGCGGAGTTGTAAAACTCAATTATTTATATTTCATTATATTACAACAGAGAATGAATGAATGAATGAATGAATGAATGAATGAATGAATGAATGGATGAATGGATGAATGGATGAATGGATGAATGRATGAATGRATGAATGRATGAATGAATGAAT